AAACAGCCCCATTTGTAAATTGGGAAAGCATCTGATCACACCAATCTTGGTTTGATTAGATAATGTAAGGGCAGAGGAGATATCTAGAGTCTGATAGAACCCAGATTTCTGAAAAAAGAATATATGATAATGCCCATTGAAGTTATAGGGGTATTTGCATTCCCTGTGATAGCATTAAAAGTGATCAAAAAAAAAAATTAAAGGGACAGTGTAAAAATAATAAAAAAAATCAAAATAACTTAAGAAAAAAAAAAAGTACCCTCACACCCCGACCCCCCCCCCCCCCCCCCCCCCTACGTATGCGGCACCTGCGTTTGTGAGCCTTGACCCTGTGCCAGTATGGAAACAGCAGTTGCATCATGCAAGTGAAGTATCGCCATGAACGTCAGATCAAGGGCAGTAATTCTAACACCAGACCTCCTCTGTAAATCTAAAATGGAAACTTGTAAAGGCTTTTAAAGCGTTGTCTATGGATATTAAAAACGTATGCAGTTTGTCGCCATTGCACGGGCATGCACAGTTTTAAAGCATGTCATGTTTGGTATCTATTTACTTGGCATACCATCATCTTTTAAATTTTATAAAATAATTGGCCAATATATTGTTTTTTTTTTTTGCATTAAAAGTAAAAATGTGTATTTTTTTTAAAAAAAATTGCGTTTGAAAAATCGCTGCGCGAGTACTATGTGAGATAAAAAATTGCAGCACACACCATTTTATTCACCAGGGTGTTTGTTTTAAAAAGATATTTAATGTTTGGGGTTTAAATTCATTTCCTAGCAAAAAATACAAATTGTTTTCATGTGAACAAAAAGTGTCAGAAAAGGCTTGGTCTTCAGGTGGTTAGAAGAGTGAGTGAAGTGTGACATAAACTTCTAATGCTGGGCATAAAATGCCCCCACCTCCCAAAATGACCCTTTTTTGGAAAGTAGACACCCTAAACTATTTGCTGAGAGGCATGTTAAATCAATAGAAGAATTTATTTTTTTAACCACAAGTTTTTGGTAAATGACAAACAAAAAAATGTAATGTTTTTTTACACAAAATTGTCACTTAAATTATTTATTGCTCACACATGCCATGGGTATATGTGGAATTATTCCCCAAAATATATTCTGATACTTCTCCCGAGTATGGGGGTACCACATGTGAGAGACGTTTTGGCAGTCTAGCTAAGTACAGGACCCCAAAATCCAATAAGTACCTTCAGGCTTTTAAAGGGCTTTATTTCCTCATTACACTTCCTGACTACGTATCACAGTTTCGGAGGCCCTGAAATGCCAGGATAGCACCAAACCCCCCAAAGGACCACTTTTTGGAAAGTAGACACCCCAAGGAATTTGATAAGAAGCATGTTGAGTATTTTGCAGATCACGTTTGTTGCCACAAGTTTTTGGAAAATTAAGAAAAAAAAAAAAAAAACATAATTTTTCTTTTCGTTTTTATATTTCAAAACCTTGTGAGAAAAAATGAGATCTGAAAAATACTCACCATGCCTTTTTTTTAAAATTCCTTGGGGTATCTACTTTCCAAAAAGGGGTAATTTGGGGGGGTTTGGTGCTATTCTGGCATTTCAGAGCCTTCAAAACTGTGATAGGTAGTGATGAAGTGAAATGAGGAAGTTACACACCTTCAGGCTTTCAAAGTGATCATTGAATTTCAGGCTCCTGTATGTGGCTAGGTTCCCAAAAAGTCTCACACATGTGGTATCCCCATACTCGGTAGAAGTATCAGAATGTATTTTAGGGTGTAATTACACAAATGCCCATGGCTTGTGCGAAAAATATATCATTTAAATAACAACTTTGTGTAAAGAAAAAAAAAAAAAATTTTTTTGTCATTTTCCGGAAACTTGTGGAAAAAAAATAAATCTTCCATGGACTCAATATGCCTCTCAGAAGATAACTTAGGGTGTCTACTTTCCGAAAAGGGGTCATTTGGGGGTGTTTGTACTATCCTGGTATTTTAGCACCTCAAGAAATGTGATGAGCAGTCAGAAAGGAAAAGCTGTGTAAATTCCATTATCTATACCATAGTTTGTAGACGCTATAACTGTCACACAAAGCAATCAATATACACTTATTGGGATTTTGTAATCAAAAACATGTAGCAGAATACATTTTGGTCTACATTTATGACAACATTTTAGTTTTTATGGATATGTTTTATGACAGAAATGAGAAAATATTGTTTTTTATTTAAAAAAACTTTTTTTTTTCTCAAAACCTTTTTTGTTTATAGCGCCAAAAATAAAAAGCGCACAGGTGATCAAATACCACCAAAAGAAATCTCTATTTGTGTGAAAAAAAAGGACATAAATTTAGTTTATATACCATATTGCATGACTGCGCAATTGTCAGTTAAACTAGTGCAGCGCTGTATAGCAAAAAAATGGCGTAAATTGCAGTATCTTTATCATAGTTTGTAGACGCTATAACTTTCACACAATCAATATACACTTATTGGGATTTTTTTTACCAAAAACATGTAGCAAAATACATTTTGGTCTAAATTTACAACTAACTTTGAGTTTACTATATATATTTTTTATAGCCGAAAGTAAAAAATATTGTTTTTCTTCTAAATTTTCGGTCTTTTTTTGTTTATAGCACGAAAAGTAAAAAGCGCACAGGTGATCAAATACCACCAAAAGAAAGCTCTATTTGTGTGAAAAAAGGATGTAAATTTCGTTTGGGTACAGCATTGCATGACCGCACAATTATCAGCTGAATTAGTGCAGCTCCGAGTAGCAAAAAGAGGCCTGGTCATTAAGGGGGGTAAATCCTCTGGAGGGCAAGTGGTTAATTAAACTTTGACAATAAGTCCTCATGCACACTTGACATTTTTACAGCAGCTGTTTTTGGCTTTTGATGATTTTTTTACAGCTAGTAAACCCCCCAGCATGTTATCCTATGTGTCCATGCACACATAGACTGTAACCAACGTTTTTTGGCTGGGACGTTTTTTGGCTGGAAAAAAAACCTCAGGACTAGTAGGTTTCTAGAGAAGTTTTTTAGCTGTAAAAATGCTCTAACTCTGAAAAACATGGTAAAACGCAGTAAACTGCTGCAAACCAGCATTTTTGGACTTTTTTTGACATAAAAAATATATTTTTTTGTAAAATAAAACCGCTAAAAAATGCAAACTCACTCAGAAAAGAATGGGAAAAAAAAGCCGCTAATCATGGCAAAACACAGCTAAACGGTAATGCAAAAACGCTAAAAAAGGTGAAAAACGTTTTTAACTTGACTTTACACAGCTAACTGTTATATTGTAAAGTGCTGAGCAAAGTGTTGGCGCTATATAAATCCTGTATAATAATAATAATCAGAGTTATCAAAACGCCCAGTGTGCATGAGGACTAAAACCTGGAAGCTGATTGGTTTAATGCACAGCTGCACCAGAAAGTTTGTACTTTCCAGTTTTGGCAAATCCCCCCAGTGTGTCAGGAAGCTGACATGAGATAGTATTTGGCTTTTTATCCCAAAATAAGTGTCATGAGTGCACCCTGTATTTTCTTTTTTATATATTTAAACATAATTACAATTATTTTAAACCCTTTTTGTAAACTTGAAATGTTAAAACTTCAGATATAAAAGACATCTTTCAACAACTTCATAATACCTATTCAGAAAGACAGGTAATAAGGACCTTTGCAATTTGTATTGTGGGCTGATGTGCTACTTGCATAGTACATATGCATATGCGAAGAGCAAATATACATAATGTGCATAGTTAAAAATGACACAAATAATCAGAATATTAACATGTGCAATTTTACACGTACATAATTAATTAGTAAGTATATCTAACAAGAAATGAAAAAGAGATTTCCTTTTAATGTGTCCAGCATATACTGTACATCCCACATTTGTCTCCAGTAATGCCTACTAACATTAACGAATTACATAAAGACAGTTTTTTATTTTATAGTACAGATACAATGTGATATCCTTTCAATAATGTTCCTGAAATCATAAGTAAAACAGTACAGTATGTGTTAAAATCTGGACTTGTTTCTAAATTTCTCTAGATCAGTTTACGGCAGCAGTTCCTCTTCCCTTGAAACATCTTAGAAAAGACATTAGCATTACGCTTTGAGAAAAAGAAATTCTGCTTCATTTTACCAAAATGACTGCAGAAAATATCTAGTACAAATGCAACATAACACTTAAAATATCTATGCAGAATGTTTTTCCAAATACGAGAAATGTAACTAAAGTGTAACATCAATATTGCACAGTTTCAGAAGTCAACAGCATATATGCAATATCATAATATTATTTTTATTCTTTTTTTGCAAATGTAAATGGCCTTGCAGTGGTGTTTTGATGGCTAAATTTAATACATCATACATAGACTGATAATTGCTGTAAATTTAATAATTTTGGGGGTTTAGATACCCAAGAGATTTTTTTTCTATATTTATGTCTTATCAGTTAAAGCTCTGTCTTTCATTTAACACACTTGCAATACGTTAATTGCAATATTTTGGAAATTAAGCAATTGGGATTAGGAAGGTAAAATCATCAAAACAATAACTTGGCAGCCTCAAGGTCCCATATAGTAGTGATAATCTTGGAACCCTTAATGAAATATCTATATGAACCAAAAATAAAATGGATTAGTTATGGGCTCAACCAAATTTAGTAGGTTTTTATATTGATCATTTATTAAATATATACTGTATCTATGGCCAGAACATATAAACAACTCTCTTTATTGAACAAAAATACAGACATACAAAATATAATAAAAACATCTACATGAACCTCAGATGTTCCTATAAGGGAGACACTAGATATTATATACTGCATGTCTTGTTAGACCATGTAGACTTTGTACGTTGCAAATAACTGTTCAATATATATATATATATATATATATATACTGTATATAAACTATATTGCCAAATGTGTTGGGACACCCCTCCAAATCCTTGGATTAAGATGTTCCAATCACCTCCATGGTAACAGGTATATAATATCAAGTACCTAGGCATGCCACCTGCTTCTACAAACATTTGTGAAAGAATGGGTCGCTTTCAGGAGCTCAGTGAATTCAAGCATGGTACCATGATAGGTTGCCACCTGTGCAATAAGTCCATCCGTGAAATGCCCTTGCTACTAAATATTCCACAGTCAACTGTTAGTGGTATTATAACAAAGTGGAAGCAACTGGGAACAACAGCAACTTAGCCACATAGTGGTGGGCCATGTAAAAGTGACAGAGCGGGGTCAGTGCATGCTGAAGCACACAGTGCTCAGAATTTGCCAACTTTCTGTAGAGTCAATAGCTAAAGACCTCCAAACTTCATGTTGCCTTCAGGTTAGTACAACAAAAGTGCGAAGAAAGCTTCATGGAATGGGTTTCCATGGCCGAGCAGCTGCATCCAAGCCTTGCATCACCATGTGCAGTGCAAAGCATCAGATGCAGGGGTGTAAAGCACGCTGCCACTGGACTCTAGAGCAGTGTTCTCTGGAGTGACAAATCACGCTTCTCTGTCAGGCAATCTGATGGACGTGTCTGGGTTTGGCAGTTGCCAGGAAAATGATACTTGCCTGACTGCATTGTGCCCAGTGTAAAGTTCGGTGGAGGCAGATTATGGTGTGGGGTTGTTTTTTAGGAGTTGGGCTTGACCCCTTAGTCCCAGTGAAGGGAACTCTTAAGGCATCAGCATACCAAGACATTTTAGACAATTTAATGCTTTTCAACTTTGTGGGAACAGTTTGGGTATGTCCCCTTCCTGTTCCAACATGACTGCGCACCAGTGCACAAAGCAAGGTCAATAAAGACATGGATGGGGTGGAGGAACTTGGCTGGCCTGCACAGAGTCCTGACCTCAACCTTTGGGATGAATTAGAGCAGAGACTGAGAGCCAGGCCTTCTCGTCCGACATCAGTGCCTGACTTCACAAATGCGCTTCTGGAAGAATGGTCAAACATTCCCATAGACACACTCCTAAACCTTGTGGACAGCCTTCTCAGAAAAGTTAAAGCTGTTAAAGCTGCAAAGGGTGGATCAACTCAATACTGAACCCTACAGACTAAGACTGGGATGTCATTATAGTTCATGTATGTGTAAAGGCAGGCGTCCCAATTCTTTTAGCAATATAGTGTGTGTATATGTATATATATATATATATATATAGTATATATATATATATATATATATACATACTGAGGAAAATAACTATTTGCTCCCCTGCAACTTTTTTAAGTTTGCCCACTTACATAGAAATGAAGGGTCTGTAATTTTTATCATAGGCGTGTTTTTTAAATGATAGAGACAGAATATCAACCAAAAATCCATAACAAAACACATGATGCAAATATTATACATTGAGTTGCAGTTCAGTGAGTAAAATAAGTATTTGATCTCCAAGCAAAACACAACTTAGTACTTGGTGGAGAAACCCTTGTTGGCAAGCACAGAGGTAAGACGTTTTGTGTAGTTGGTTACCAGGTTTGCACACATCTCAGGAGGGATTTTGGTCCACTCCTCTTTACAGATCTCTAAATCCTTAAGGAATTTTGGCTGTTGCTTGGCAACTTGAAGTTTCAGCTCCCTCCATAAATTTTCTATAGGATTAGGGTCTGGAGACTGGCTAGGCGACTCCATGACCTTAATGTGCTTCTTCTTGAGACACTCTTTTGTTGCCTTGGCTGTATGTTTTGGGTCATTTTCATGCTGGAAGAGCTATTCATGACCCATCTTCAGTGTTCTGGGGAACAAGGTTCTCATCCAAGATGTTACAATTCTTGGCCCCTCAATGTGGCAAAGTCAGCCTGTAACTGAGCAGAGAAACAGCCCCAAAGCATAATGTTTTCACCTCTGTGCTTGATTGTAGGAATGGTGTTCTTAGGGTTATAGTTAGCATTTTTCTTCCTCCAAACAAAGCGAGTCGAGTTAATGCCAAAGTGCTCAAAGTTGGTCTTATCTGACCACAGCACTTTCTCTCAATCCTTCTCTGAATAATTTATGTGTTAATTTGCAAACTTCAGATGGGCCTGTACATGTGCCTTCTTGTGGATGGGAATGTTGGGGGTGCTGCAGGATTTCAATCCATGGCAGCATATTGTGTTGCCAATGGTTTGTTTGGTGACTGTGGTCATTACTGCCATGAGATCATTCATAAGCTCCTTCCGTGTTCTGACCTGATTTTTTGTATCATGTGTTTTGTCTAAATTTTTGTCTCTATCATTAAAAATACACCTATGATAAAAATGATAGACCCTTCCTTTTTTGTAAATGGGCAAACTTACAAAATTTGCAAGGGATCAAATAATTATTTTCCCCCACTGTATATATGTAGTTTGAATGACTCCCAGTGTCCATTATTCATCAAATCTAGTACATCCCATATGGAAAGTATGAATAATTTTCCTCTAAAGACATATAGTTCATAAAAAGCTACATATGGAGGCTTCTTTATGGAAACTAGTCATTGCCATAATTTCGCTTGGATTACAGTTTTTGATGAACTGTATATATTTGGAGGAAAATTATTCATACTTTCCATATGGGATGTACTAGATTTGATGAATAATGGGAGTCATGCAAACTACAGATATATATACAGTATTTATTGAACAGTTATTTACACTTACAAAGTCTATTTGGTCTAACAATACATGCAGTATATAGTATCTAGGGTGTCCCTTATAGGAACATCTGAGGTTCATGGAGATGTTTTTATTATATTTTGTATGTCTGTATTTTTGTACAATAAAGGGAGTTGTTTATATCTTCTGGCCACAGATTTATATTTAATACATGGTCAATATAACAACCTAAATAAAGAATAAACTCCTGCGCTACCTCAATGTGATATTAAATAATAATGTATGGAGCTGCTCCTTGCATAAAAAATTGTGTTCCCACAACAAAAACATAAATAAAAATGAATAAGCTCAATGCTGCACTGCTATTGTGAAATATACATACCAAATCATCAATAAATTAAATATACATGCATGAATCATGACAATATAGTGTCCATAAAGACAGGTCTATGTGAAATATGAAAACAACGGTGAATAAACTTTACATCAATTTTCTTCACAATTTCATATGATTCCTCATGTGCTCATATAATCAACACCATCTCTTGAAATGCTGCAAAGCATGCAGGTTGTGCCACCTCAGTGCTCACAGAACTCTCACCTTAAGGCGATTGAAATGCCTTATTGAAATAAATAAATAGTGGTTCCTCCACTCTCCTGGTCATCCACCATTCAGAACCACTGGGTGCCCTCTTTCCTTTCCCTTGATCACCAAACCAGAGAAAAAACAGTTCCTTTAAGGGTGGCATGGGTCAAAAACTCCTACACTTATGCAAAGAAAACAGAGGAAACTCCAATAGTGCTGCATGTTCTAACAAGTAGATTTTATTAAAAGTAATGCACTCACATGTACATAAGAATAAAAAACATCATTGAGAATGATTTGGAGTCACCATATACAGACTGCACTTCTGCGTGTGTGACATCTGGTTCACATCTTCCTATGGCCACACCCTGCTCGTTATTTCACGCCCACGTGACTTCATTAGGGATAAAGCATAAGGCAGAGGGGGAGTCCTTATATAGTGTGTATAACCTCAATTAGTTGGTGACCATTTTGTTGAAGTCCTCATAGAATAACACTATGGTGGCCATTTTCCATTGGTCTCAAAGCATAATAGGATAACGGTGGCCATTATATACAGGTGAAACTCGAAAAATTTGAATATCGTGCAAAAGTTCATTTATTTCAGTAATGCAACTAAAAAGGTGAAACTAATATATGAGATAGACTCATTACATGCAAAGCAAAATAGTTCAAGCCGTGATTTGTCATAATTGTGATTAGAGATGAGCGAATCAAACTTGGCGAAGTGGAATTCGTTTCGAATATTAGGAAAAATTCGATTCGCACCGAATCCGAAAATTAGCAAACTTCGGATGCACGAATCGAATTTTTCCCGATCGGCCGATTTTCATCCCTTCTACAGCCGGCAAAAAGTGTCCCTGCAGAGAGCTCCGCTATTTCTGACAGTTCTCTGACAGTTCCTTCACATTTACAGCGGTTGAAACATTGTATCTATTTGTTTCCATTTAGGATACAGATGTTTTTATTCGGAAACAAATAGATACAATGTTTCAACCGCTGTAAATGTGAAGGAACTGTCAGAGAACTGTCAGAAATAGCGGAGCTCTCTGCAGATACACTTTTTGCTGTACTGGAATTCTTCTTCTTTTCATTCTTCTTCTCCTTCTTATTTTCATTCTTCTTCTTCTTCTTATTTTCATTCTTCTTCTCCTTCTTCTTCTCCTTCTTCTTTTTATTCTTCTTCTCCTTCTTCTTTTCATTCTTCTTCTCCTTCTTCTTCTCCTTCTTCTTTTCATTCTTTTTCTCCTTCTTCTTTTCATTCTTCTTCTTCTTATTATTTTCATTCTTCTTCTTCTTATTTTCATTCTTCTTCTTCTTCTTCTTCTCCTTCTTCTTTTCATTCTTCTTCTCCTTCTTCTTTTCATTCTTCTTCTCCTTCTTCTTCTCCTATTCTTTTCATTCTTCTTCTCCTTCTTATTTTCATTCTTCTTCTCCTTCTTCTTCTCCTTCTTCTTTTCATTCTTCTTCTCCTTCTTCTTTTCATTCTTCTTCTTCTTCTTCTTATTTTCATTCTTCTTCTTCTTCTTATTTTCATTCTTCTTCTTCTTCTTCTTATTTTCCTTCTTCTTCTTCTTCTTCTTATTTTCATTCTTCTTCTCCCTCTTCTTCTCCTTCTTCTTTTCATTCTTCTTCTCCTTCTTCTTTTCATTCCTCTTCTCCTTCTTCTTTTCATTCTTCTTCTCCTTCTTCTTCTCCTTCTTCTTCTTCTCCTTCTTCTTTTCATTCTTCTTCTTCTCCTTCTTCTTTTCATTCTTCTTCTTATTTTCATTCTTCTTCTTCTTCTTATTTTCCTTCTTCTTCCTCTTCTTCTTCTTCTTCTTCTTATTTTCCTTCTTCTTCTTCTTCTTCTTATTTTCCTTCTTCTTCTCCTTCTTCTTTTCATTCTTCTTCTCCTTCTTCTTCTCCTTCTTCTTCTTTTCATTCTTCTTCTCCTTCTTCTTCTTCTTATTTTCCTTCTTCTTCTTATTATTATTATTATTATTTTCCTTCTTCTTCTTCTTATTTTTCTTCCTCTTATTTTCCTTCTTCTTCTTCTTATTTTCCTTCTTCTTCTTATTTTCCTTCTTCTTCTTCTTATTTTCCTTCTTCTTCTTCTTCTTCTTCTTCTTCTTATTTTCCTTCTTCTTCTTCTTCTTCTTCTTATTTTCCTTCTTCTTCTTCTTCTTCTTCTTCTTCTCCTTCTTCATCTTCTTCTTCATCTTCTTCATCTTCATCTTCTTCTTCAT